ATATCATTAATAATTTTTAATTTTATTTAAAAATTTGTAAATACTTTTTAATTTTCCAGGCAAATTTGTCTGGAATACAGTTTAAGGGATAATGCCAGGTTATTATTTTTTAAAATTTAAATTTAAATTTATAATTTAAAAAATTTTAAAAATTTTTAAATAAAAGTCTGGCCTGTCAGGTTTTTTTTTTTTTATATATTATGAGAACCAAAAAATTAATTTTATATAGCCTAATATTAATTTACTTGAAAAACTTTTTCAAGGAAAAGAGATATAATAAATATTTATTATAATTATAGTAAATTATAATTTTATTATTAATAATAAATAATTTTATAAAGCATTAATAATCAAGTTTTACAAACTTGTAAAACAGTTTTATCTACATCATCTTGCTTACAACAATATAGTAAGTATAATATTTAATTTTTAAATTTAATTTTATTTATAGTTAATATATTAAATATTATTTTATTAATAATTTAGAATTTTATCATTCTGGAGAAAATAATTCTATTGGTAGTTATGAAAAATTATTCATCTTCAATATAAAGTTAATTTTATTAAATTAATTCTATATGATCTTATTCAATATCTATGGTTCATGTCACCTATAGTCATCAAACAATGCAGATCAGTCCGAAATTTGGATATTGATCTTTGATCACATGCCATAGTTTCTATTGGCCAATATTAATAGCCTAAATCAGTAAAATGAAATACTATAAATACTGTATAAGATAGATCAATCGATTTCGCAATAATTTTTGCTATAGTTATATAAACCTTTATTGAATACAAAAAAATTTAATATATATATTTAAAGCTAAATAAAATAAACTTATTAACGATCAAACTTTTTTTTTATAATTTCAAGTTTAACAAATAGAGTAACGATACAGTAGCAGCAAATTAAATTTTACTCTAATTTATTTAACTCCTTATAAATACTGTCTAGGATTCTTCTGTGAGTTTTATATTTTTTTACTGCATATTCTACTAGTTTTTTGCTAAGACCATTTCTATAAAGATCCATATAACGCCAACATTTTTTTGAAAACTTTTTAATGGTTATTAGAGGTACTGATTCAAGACTTTCAGGGACGGTTTTTTGTAACCCCAACTATGAATAATCACAATTTTCTCGTGTATGCCTTTTAGCAGCTCCCCAATATCTTTCGATAAAGTTTAACTCACAATGGAATTTGGAAAAAAAAATACATTTATGTCCTGCATTTTTAATTAATTCTTGAATTGCATTTTTTTGGGCAACAAAATCGGGTTCCAAAGACAATACTCTACGTGTACAACAAGAAACTCTTGAAGTATCTATGATCTTTTGTTTGTAATTTTTACAATCTAAAACTAATTCTTCAGATGGCCATTTTTTACGTTCAATTAGCACTTGTTTAATACCTTTAGGCTTTCCTCGAAGTTCCTCATCCAATTCCCCATATAATTCCTTATATAGCTTCACATCTAAATTAGTTTCCGGAAACACCATTGATTGTAGTTTACTATCTTCTCCAAAATAAGTATCATGCATAATCAGCTGTTTTCCACCTGGGCCCAGTTTTATTCTACTTGCAATTAAAGCGTCTTCACTAAATGCACCGTGATTAGAACTATTGTCGAAAGCAAACACAGCCACACAATCAGGATACAAAGTCTCAAAAATAGGAATCGCCTTATAGTGAATTTGTTCAAGAAGGTGTTTTGTTGTCCAGTAACCTTCTTGATTTGCACCAGGTCTCAAGTAACATCGTGCTTCTTTAAATACATCAGGGTATTTTTCTATATTGGATTGTTGTAAACATAAACGTCCATCAACTTTGGTAAGAAATTTACTAACCATGATCGACCTCCCATTTCCTTTTTTTCATAGTGGCATTTTTCCATCTTTGGTCCATACACCATGTTTACCGTCATTTGAATAAAATACACATTCGTCGTGTACTACAAGAATTCTTTCTTTTTCACCTTGGGGTAAACTAGGACATATTCTTTCCATGGAATCTCCTTCATATTTTGACATATACTTTTCATGATCAAATATTTTTTCTAAAAATTCTCTTCTATATTCCAAAACGTCTTCCCTCTCATGACCATCATAATATATACTTTGATGATATTGTCGAAACAAATAGCCAAGAACCTTTAGCCATCTCTTTGCAGTTTTTAAGCTACCAGTTTTTTTTAAAAAAATTCCAATATTAGGAAACAACACATCTTCAACAAATTTTTTAGATGTGGCGGGAGTAACCTTAAAGTTTTGGCTTCTAATTCAAATATGACATTTGTTTCCAATATCTTCATCGTCAATTATTCTAATTGTTTTTTGGTGTTTTCCATGTCTAGATAGTGGGAGCTTATCATTAAGTAACCAATACTTCGTAAGATACCGAATTTTTCGAGCTTTTCACACATTACCATCAATAAAGACCTTACGAGCAACATCCAAGCTAGCTTTAATTTTTCCACGTCCATTATTTTTACTTAATAAAATAAGGTATTCAAAAATAGCTCTTTTGTAATTGTATTCTTTAACTGTTAGTTTATTATGGTTTTGTTCTAACTGCTTTTTTAAATTATTTGCTTTTCTATTTATCGTAAGAGTATACGAGTCAGGTTCACTATCTGAGTCATCAGAGATTTCTTCTAAGTCATTTGGGTCTAATGGTTGTGAACTTGTAAAAAAGCTAGTAATTTTTTTTGTACCAACTGCTGCTTTAGTAAAAATACCAGTTGGCCCGTACTTATCATAATAAGTTGACTTTGGTGTTTTGCCCTTCATATACGGGCCCCGTTTTGTTTTTTCGAATTGACTATCATTTTTCTATGCCAAGTTAAGTTCTTTAATTTCACACTCCATATTATCGCATCCACTATCATCCTCATCTCCCTATTCTAAATCACTAATATCTAACTCATTATATTTATTCCAGCCACTATTTTTCTCACCTCCGTTTTCAATACTAATGTCTAGTTCATCTTCAGTATTGCTATTATATAGCTCATTTACCATGTCTTCTTGATCAGTTAACTCCATTTTTTTGGTATTATACTGTCCTTCAATATCTCTAGCCTGATTTTTGGCTTTCCTTTTTCCTTTGGAGAGTAATGGCATTTTTTTTATTTTTTTATAAAAAGTTAGAGATATACGACTTGTCACTATGTCTAATCACGAAAAAAAGATTTTATTTATAGTTTATATGAGGTATTTTTTTTAATTTTATTTTATTTTTTTTTAATAATTAATGTAACGAAATGTGTTTTATATATTAATTTAAATATATGTTCCTTTATAAACGTTTCAGATATATATATATATTTATACAAAAGAATACCTTTTATTATTTTAATCAAGGCTTTGGCTGAAATAATGATTTTTTCTAACTATTTAGTTCTATTCATTTTTTATTTTCACACGCTTTAAAACAGCTTTATTTAAGACCTCCTATTCCGCCATTATATCATTATTACTTTATTTGAGGTTTGCTATTTTTAGTTTTATCTTATTCTCGACTATGCTTCTTAATTATCTTAATTACTTTACTTATTAGGCTAGTATCTCTGGGCTGTTATATTCCAATCACGACATCATATGAGAATAAAGCTTTGATTATTAAACGATAAGTGTCTTAACAAATATTTGTTTGAATTTATCATTTTTATTTATTCATTTATTTTTTATGTTACCAGGAACGGAGTACAAAGTATGTAGAGTATAGTTTAACGACAAGTGAAAGGGTGTATCCGAATCTGTGAATTTGATTGGATTGCTTTTTCATGTGATCTTGACGCCACAATATGTATTACAGTATACTTCCAAATTTGTCAGTATTTTTTTTTTTATCATCCTTCGGGATTGGCTGCACAATTGAGTCAAGCCAATGAGCTGCAACTTAGGCTATCGCTATGGTGTTGTAGCTTTTAACTATGACTCAAGTTGTAGTAAATAATATTGTTAAGCTTTGCATTAAATATTATTACGTTGCTACAGTAATAATGATTTTAAAGCAATATAGCATTTAAAGAAGCCATAAAAGCATTAAAATCTTTAATGGGTTGAAGTTCGTCTATGAAACTCTTTGTCATATGATATTATGTATAATTTATTATTTTGTGTTTTGTACTTACCGGGTCACGTGATTTTTTTGCTTACTGATTGGATAAAATAAAATGATCGACGTCCGAAATTTGAAGATTATTAATAAAAATGTCTAACATTAAACTTTAATATTTCGTGAAAATAAAAAGTTACCAAAAAAACTAAACTATAAATCTGATAGAGAAACATTAAATTTATTATTTTTATGGTTTAATTTTTTAATTTTATTTTAATAAAAAAACTAGTTATTGTTTGAAGTTGCATAAATTTGTTTGATGACTATAGGTGATACGAACCATACTATTGGCCACTGTATATAGTATTCCCCAAAAATAATACTCCTGTGATTAAAACTCGGGTATTATTCACCACCAATCTTGCTTAATTCTTGAATAAGACCCGGGGTATAACTATAATGATTTACTACTTTTAATATGATATATCCTCCAGATAAAGTACCCAGTTTCTTACACAATATCACGGGTACTATTCAATTTTAAAACTGATATTCTTGAATAAGACCCTGGGTACTGTATGCAGTAGCCAACGGTATTTGTAATTTTAATTTGCCATAGCATTCACAATCATTCACCTTCTTTACTATCAAAAGTTTCTATTGATATCCAAAATAATTTTAATCATTTATTAAAAAGTATTTTGGTAACTATAACTGGCAGTAATCATCACTGGGGTGTTATATCTCAAAAATGTACTAAGTAAACTAGATTAGATACTCTAAGTAAAAATGTTCAGGACCTCAAAAACCTCACAAGAACTAAAATCGAGCCCTAACAGGCTTTTATAATAGCTCTATATTATATAAAAAAAAACAATTCTCTAATTTCTAACCCTAACCCTAACAAATCTTAGGACTGGTAATGATCACCGCTGGTGATTAGAACTAAATCTTTATTGAAAAATGCTTCTAATGAATATGAAAATATAATATTAATAAAATTTTATCTGATAAATTATTTTATTAATATTTAATTTTTATATAATTTAATATGGGCGTTAGTTTATGGTGACCCGTCACCATGGCGACCCCTATGATCGACCAATCAGATCACATAAAAAAATCATCAA